ATCCTGGCAGTGGAGAGGAACACCGTCATATGACATCAAACAGTGATATCAAACGTGAGTTCCTTCTTTTTGGTTTAATGTCAGATGGCATAACAAACTGGGACCTTTGAAACTCTGAATCCTGTCATCTCCTGTGGCTGACTTCTGCATCATCAAGCAGGAGCACCAGAGCTGTTTCCCCTTAGAGTGCGACCTTCAAGACTTTCAAGGTGCAATTAAATTCATTATAAACATAAAAAAATGTACAAACCTTATGTGATAAATGTGCAATTCTGTCATGATAGAAAGAGTTGAGAACTTTTACAATTATAATCATGTTAATAATTATCATATATTTGAACTTGTTTGGTCATTATGATCAGTGAGTGTCACTGAAGCTTTTTTACTGCAGTGCTGTTTCTGTCTGTCACACATTCACTCACAAACCCATGATGCTCACAACTCTGAAGCTGACGTAACAAATAATCACCCTTTTCTCCACCTCCTCCTCCATCTCCTCCAACTCTCTCCAGGACTCTTGTCTCAGTCTCTCCTATCTGAGTGCTTCTCCTCATCATGCAGCCGACAGCAGGACTCTGCTGCTCCTCCACAGCCAGAGGCGATTCACAGTCAGTCTCTGACCTCTGGGCTAATGAAGGAAGGTGTGCAGCCCATAAAGAGACCTGAAGGTGGTGTTTTTTCATGCCTGGTTTGATTGTCACAGCTGGTTTAAGAATAGAGAGTCCACAGGGAGAGACAGGGACAGTCACGAGTCCACCTGAAGCCCTCTGGGTCCGGCAGCTGCTGATTACTGTCAGCTCGTGTAAGGTAAGTCAAATCAAGTCATGTTCTTTATGAGTACATTTAGAAACAAGCCATGCAGTTCTAGAAAAATCAGACCGACAGAAGTGAAATAATCCACTTCCCATAAAATATGAAGTTTCTCCAGTTTATGACAAAAATCCTCTAAATAAATTAGTTAAAGGCAAAGACTGTAGTTATATCTGTTTGCTGGAACACTTCAGTGGCACTCAGCCACAATCTATCTGAACCATTTGTATAATAAATATGCAAATATTCAGGTGTGCCATCAACTGACTAAATAAAGTTAGTTTTTAATCTCCTTTCACCGTTTCGCTGATGATGTAAGAATTGTAACAGTGACCCTTCCTCAGTGGGGTCCTTACTGGAGTGCCTGAACGACAGCCAACAGTGGACGTCGTTACACTTTTTCATGTTGAACGGCTGTAAAGGAATGAGAATTGATGTCCAAGTGTCGAAGACGAGCCTTACAGCTTTACTCTCGCAGCTGGAGCAGTATAGCTTCAGCCATAGTGCCTCGCCTGATACCAAAACTTTATTAGAAATATTTTCAGTTGTTTTAAATCCCAACAGACACAGAGACAGAACTGAAAGAGAAAAAGGAAAGAAGAAAGTTCACAAAAATAAACAAAGTATGTAGAAGAAAAGTTAGACGGTTCTTTTAAGTTAAATGCCCAGGTCAGGTCAGGGCAGAGGTCAAGTCAGGTATGTCAGCTTTGTTACTTTGTTCTGTGTCCCTCTGGTCCCCAGTCCCCTCCTGTTCTCACTCCAGGTTCTCCTCATGTGTCTCATTATCATCCCCAGCTTTCTCTAGGCTTCCCTCAGGCTTCCTTCTAGTCTCTCCCTGGTAGTTTTTATATTAGTCCTCCTCATCCCTCTAATATTAGTTGTTTATATTTGCCCTTAGTCTTTAGGTTTAGTTACTCCGTGTTTTATATGTTAATGTTTATCTCCCCCCTGCTTAGTTCTTTCCCCCCATTTAGTTTATTGAATGCACCTGCCTTCCCTCCAGAATCTCACTCCTCACACCTGTCACCTGTTCCCCTGATTACCTCCCTCTGTGTTTAAAAACCTTGTCTTGTCCCTCAGTGTTTGTCGGTCCATTGTTGTTGTCAGCGTGTTTTGTTCCTATTCCATGCTGTCGTTCTTTTTAAAACAGAAACAGTTTTGTTTACCTGTTTTGTCGCTACGTTTCGCCGGCGGCTGCGGTAACGTGGCGACAAAACAGGTAAACAAAACTGTGTCTGTGTTTTAAAAAGAACGACAGCATGGAATTAGAACCACGACACAGCAAGAACACACCTAAGGTTCCTGATACCTGGCTTGGCTTCCTGTCTGTGATTTTTGGATTATTTCCCAAAATAAAGGATTCTACCTTTTATTAATTACTCCTGCCTCATGTCGTCTGGTGCGCTGCATCTTGGGTCCTACTCCTCCTGCTCCGAACCTGACAGTTATGGCATTACCTTATTGGGGCAGCAGTAGCTCAACAGGTTGAGCGGGTTGTCCAGCAATCGGAAGGTTGCAGGTTTGATCCCGGCTCTGGACAGAGTATTCTGCTGTTGTGTCCTTGGGCAAGACACTTAACCCACCTTGCCTGCTGGTGATGGTCGGACGGACCGGGGCCGCCTGTGCTCGGCAGCCTCGCCTCTGTCAGTGCGCCCCAGGGCAGCTGTGGCTACATTGTAGCTCATCACCATCAGTGTGTGAATGTGTGTGTGAATGGATGAATGATACACTGTAGTGTAAAGCGCTTTGGAGTCCTTACTCTGAGAGGCGCTATACAAGTGCGGGTCATTTATCATTTATCATTACCTTCCTAATCATGTTTTTATACAAGTCATTCATTTGTTTGTTTCCTCGTGGTTGGTTCATTGTAATTCCATCTATCTGGGTTTGGACCACCACTGTCTTCCAGCTGACTGGTACCAGTAGGCAGGGACACATAAGACCAGTTCTGGCCTCTTTACATTGGATTCATGTTCATTTCAGAATACATTTTAAAGTTTTACTCTTTGTTTTTGAATCCTTGCTCTACCAGAACCCGTGTAAAGACCCGTGGCGATAGGTCTGTCTCTATGGCTGCTCCTAAACTGTGGAAAAGTCTATAAGATCTGCTCGTCTTGAGCATTTTAAATCTTTATGCATCTTTTAAATCTGGCTTTTAATGGTGAGCTGACCCATACTAGGTTTTGAGCTTATTTGTTCCTACTGTTTTAATCGTGTGTTTTGTTTTTATTTGAACAGATTAATTTTGTCCATGTGATTACTGTTTTGTTTGCTTTGTTGTACAGCGCTTTGGACCAAAATGTGCTATAGAATTAAACGTGACTTTGAGGATTTCTAACCAGAATCTAATAACTTTCAGACGTAGAAAAATCCATCAAAATTAAAGGATGTTTTGTCTTCTAAGGAGAAAATCTGCACACTGCTTTGTTTTTCTTTTTCTTCAGGTTTGTTTTCTTTTTTCTTTTAGGTTTCACAGCAAATAAACTCGTTACCAAATAAGAGCTCAAAAACAATTAAATGAAGTCAGAAATAAACAAAATTTGGCCAAGAGAGAAAAGTCCTGAATTCCACAATACATTTTTGAAATAATCAGCTTATTTAATTAGTCCTTAATTAATGTTTAATGACTTGCAAAAATGTTTGTTTTACACAAAGTGTTGGAAAAGAAATCACGACTCCTTAAAACTAACATTTATTTCCATTCTTACATCTTTTAGATGATAATATTTTAGATGTTTCGGGTGGTTTTGAGTAAATAAATCAGCTGTGAGATCCTGTTAGCAATAACAATATATTTTCTTATGATTAAAACTAAAACATTTTGCAGGGTTGTAAAACTAAAGATGGCCCATGGTTATTAATAGAATGCTTGATATTTATTTTTTGAGTTTTAATATTTTTGAAGTTTGTTTTATGAACTGTAGTTTCTAAACATGCAATAAAGCGCTAACAGTTTAGCCATCCTCTGGTCCATTTTTTCCTCCATCTTCTGGAGATTGTGTTGTTGCTAAGTGCTACTGATTGAAATATTCATGTCAGTTTAGAGAGCTCGCCGAAGGGCGTTTTATTTATAATCCATGTGTTTCCTGCAGACTCTTAAATGAAACTAAAAACTGTTAGCGGGTTCCTTCTGAAGTGAACAAAGGCTCAGTAAAAGATTCATGATTGGTTAGTTCGACTTTTGAAAATGTGTACAACAGCTTCTGACAGGAAACCTGGACGGGTCAGGCTCTGCTGCAGAGAGGTGATGAAGTCAAGATGCAAAAAAGAACCTTAGTTTACTGATTTTTAGCAATCTTCAAATGATGTTTAGGTTCAATTGAACAAAATAAAAAAAACTAAGAGGAAACTGCTTCATATTCTTGAATAAATAATATCCTCCACCTTTGGTTAAAGTTTTACTTTATAGATTCAAAGTTGTGACTTGACAGACACAGAGAGAAGGTGGACTGTGATAGATTTTATTTTGAAAGTTTTTCACATAAAGAGCTACTGGATAGATGGAGTGGAAAGTCGCTGTCGCGTTTAAAAGAACCACAGGGTGGCAGTGTTGCATCAGCCTGATGGTGTGTGTGAGAGAGAGAGAGAGAGAGAGAGAGAGAGAGAGAGAGAGAGAGAGAGAGAGAGAGAGAGAGAGAGAGAGAGAGAGAGAGAGAGAGAGAGAGAGAGAGAGAGAGAGAGAGAGAGAGAGAGAGAGAGAGAGAGAGAGAGAGAGAGAGAGAGAATCCAGAGCATGGCTGATTAGTTTAGGCGAGTGTTCAGTAAAACAGGAAAAGAGCAAATTTCTCAGAATATTAAATAGATTCTTGGTTTGGTTAGAGTAACAAAAATGTTATTTAAAACATTTACAGTTGGTTTTAAAATGGGACAAAAAGATGGAGTTAAAATAAATGTAAAAAAATAACATCTCCATATCTCATATATCCCATTCTCCGGTTCATCAAAGATTGCTAACGAGGTGATTTTACTGCCTGAATGAAAAAGTAAAACAAGTGGGAGTGTTAGTGAGGGATACAGTGATGAATCAGAGAGAGAGAGAGAGAGAGAGAGAGAGAGAGAGAGAGAGAGAGAGAGAGGGAGAGAGAGAGAGAGAGAGAGAGAGAGAGAGAGAGAGAGAGAGAGAGAGAGAGAGAGAGAGAGAGAGAGAGAGAGAGAGAGGCGCAGCGAGGATAAAAGAGAGAGCAGCTCTGGCTCAATCACAGCGTCTCTCTGCCAGACGTAGCCAGCAGTCCAATAGAACACACTCACACGTTTCAAAGCAGCTGTTTCTGAGCATCTCCCCTGCAGCCTGAGCTGAGAGTTGGATGTTTGGACTTCATGTGTCTTATGAGGCTTCTGGAGCAGCGTGCGGGTCTGGATTTACCCTCTAAGTGTTGGAGAGAAGTCTTCTGTTAGGAACCCTTGGTTTGACCTGTAGCATCACATCATGCTGCTTTGAGGGGGACTGGTCTGTGTGTGAGAGCACAGCAGAGTGTTTAGTTGTGTGCATGGGCGTGTGACTGCCAAGATGACCGTTCCCATGCTGAAGATCGGCGCTGTGCTCAGCACCATGGCCATGGTAACTAACTGGATGTCCCAGACTCTGCCTTCGCTGGTTGGACTCAACGGAACCATCATCTCCTCCGAGGGCACACACGAGCGCATCATCAGTGTACGTATACATCATGCACACTGCATGAGCAACTGTTTCAAAAAATGTGTGTTTTACTAGATTTTGTACCAAAAAGTTCAACTAAATGCATGTTTTGAAATTGCAAAAGTAGGTTTAACAATGGAATTTATTTCTGTTGATGTGTTTTGCCATTCCTGTCTTTTAAATCAACAACCACATCCAAATAAGCTCTCAAAGTGTTTTCAATTTCCAGAGACAAACACACAAACACCAGGAATATGAATCAACACTGCAGGATCAATACATCATCATTATTTATTATGAAAACATGATATACTATACTAATTATTATTGTTGAAAGAAACACACCAGCTAATTAGGAAAATAAGCTAAAATGTAGGAAAAGGGTTCAGAATTCATCTGGAATCAAATTAAAAACATTAAGTGCTCTGCTAATGAGTAAATAACTGACCAAATTACCTTTTTTGTTACTGGGAATCATGAAGAACACGCGCACACACACACACACACACACACACACACACACACACACACACACACACACACACACACACACATTGGTGATTGGTGTCTCAGATTTGCTGGAGTGATATTTCTCCTGGGGAGGGCTGACTCACCCATGGGACAGCCAGCGATTTGTTGCCCTAGCAACACCTTGGCAACCTCAGACATGGAGATGCTGGTCCACTGCACACATGAGCATCTTAACCCCAGACGGAGACTTGCAGCAGACAAATGGCAATTTTTTTGTGAGTTTGTGGTCAATTCCTGACTCATCTTTTGACCCAACGGTTACAAGACAAACACCTTTAAAACATTTAACAATCATTTTGTGTGATTGCATTTTAAAGTGATGAATGCTATGTTTGTGTCACTGTGTTTGGGATTGGCATGATTCAGCTCAAAACGGAGATTCTCATCTGCCATGCTTTGCAAGTTCAGCAAAGTGTAAGCAGTCTGATGCGAGCGGACGCCCACACACACACACACAAACACACAGGACGAGGACAGATGGAGATGTTCGAAGGGACGTCGTGCTATCTCAGAGCCATGTTTATTCACAGTTTATTGACAGAAACTGTAAGCTGTTGAGTTTCTGTTAAACTGATTTTGTGATGTGAAGCTGGAACACTCCTTGTCTTTGCATTGACTGTTATTTACATAGAATTTAAAAAAAAACATTGATGGCATATTAAAGGTTGGAATGCCGAAAATATGTATGCCAGAGTGCTGGAGATGGGAATCCGACTGATATTTGATAGTTTGGTGGTCTTTGCTTCAGTCACGGACTTTACTGGGATATTTGATGCTGTGTGGGATTTAGCCCAAACCAGAGTAGTGGAATTTATTGGTTGTGATTTTTTACCTTAAGAGACCATTGTGGTGTCCTTCCGGGGGTACTTTGGGTTTATATGACGTCCGGCCCCTGACTGAAGACAGTTATTGATTTTATCCAGGATGCCCTTTCACACCAATTCCTTTAAAAGTTTCAGACACAACACAAGTTTGGGGTGCTTTAGACTGCATTCCTGCTGCTGGAACTGTTTCCAGTCAAGTGTAAAGATCAGCACCTCCAAGTCTGGCCCTCAACTAGAAAATTGAACTTGGGAATGCGCTTCTGCTCCACTTAAGGTCAGGGACGTGTCCAGGAAGTGGCCTGGGGTAGCATTCCCTTGCAATCTGAATGGCCAACTTACTGTAGGTGGCCACTCTGCATTCTCTGCAGCAATGAGTACAAAGGTTGGACTGTTGATCATCCAGTTAGTCTACGGTCTAACTCTCCTTTATGGTCGTGAGCGCAGAGTAAAGAGGCTGAAATGAGCTTCCTCCGCAGAGTAGCTGAACCCATCTACGTGGATAGAATGAGGAGCTCAGCTATTCAGCTCGGAAACTCAGCTGTGGGCAGCTCAGGATGTAGAGCAGGTTATCCAGTAATTGGAAGGTTGTAGGTTTGAACCCAGCTCCTGCCAGAGAATGCAGCTATTGTGTCCTTGGGCAAGACATTTAACCCGACAGGCCTGTTGGCGGTGGTCGGAGAGACTGGTGGCACCTGGGTACAGCAGATTTGCTTGTCATTGTGCCCCAGGGCAGCTGTATCTACACTCATCACCAGCATGTGAATGTGTGTTAATGGGTGAATGACTGAATGTGTTGTGAAGAGTCTTGGGGGCGCTGTAGAACCCTAAGAAGGCACAAATACAGGCCGTTTACCATATTCAGGAGGAGCTCATCCACGACATCTAGAAGAGTTGGTTTGGGCATCCGGGAATCCCTCTGGAAGCCATCCGCATTTTAAAGAAACATCCTAGTAAAGTTAAAGTCAAGGTTAAGTCCCATTAGTCATCCCACAATGGTGAAATTACTTCTATGCATTTGACCCATCTTCGTGGGGAGCAGTGAGCTGCAGCAGTGGCTGTGCTCGGGAACTATTTGGTGGTTTAACCCCCAATCCAACCCCTTAAAGCTGAGTGTCAAGCAGGGAGGATTCGGGTCCCATTTTTTAAATGTTTGGTATGACCCGACCAGGATATGAACCCTAATCTCCCATTCTCAGTTAACCTTGGAATGGCTCAGAGTCTGTCTCATGAGGTGAAGAAGGTAGTTGGTCAAGGAGATGTATGGAGATCTCTACTTGAAGCAGCAATCCAGAGTTTCCCCCTTTTAGAAATTTAGTTATAGAAATATTGTAGAAATCTGTAAAATTGATAGTCTTACCCTGTACTGTGAAATAATGTAGGCAATGCATCAACTTTTTTGGCTAAGACAGCCGCTTGTCCCATAGAGCCCAATGCAATTTTATTTGAGCACTGCCCAGCTTTAGCCCAATATGATAGGCATCCCTTCACGTGCAGATGTCAACCACAGAGGCGTTGCTTCCATCCGTAATCACGGAAGTAGGGAGAAAGGTATAAAGTGAACTACACCTTTCCACCTCTAGATGGTGCCATTTGATTAAAAAACTCTGGATTTCTGCTTTAAACTGTTGCAACATGTGACTTGTTACTAGATAAGCAGATTAATCTGCTCTGAAACTTTATTTGAGACTAGATTATTTTTTCACAGTCATTGAAAACCCTTTTAAAACCAGCACCACTCAGACTAGCCATTAGCTTGTTAATATCTTTATTTCTTCAAACTGAGGTTGTTAAACCTACAACAGGTAACAGTATTTGTTCACAACCTTTTCAGAGAAACCCATTTTATTTAACCAACCTACCACTTCAGTGTAAACTTTTGCTGCTTTAAAGTGACAATGTGTAGTTTTTACTATTAATCTCTGGAAATATCCGTCAAAATGTTGCTGTAAATAAATTAAAAGATGTCCAGTTGTTGAAAATAATGGCAGTTTATAACCATAAAAATCTGTTCTCAAATACATGGGAGCGGGTCTAAGCGTGTTTCTCAATGCCAACGAACCTTGCTTTGATGTCTTGGCCCTGCCCCAGTTGCCTAAGAGATACGTCGCCAAGCCATGTTTCAATGTTCATGTTCTACTGGGGCGTGTGTTCTCCGTTTGGTAGCTGTTTAGCTAGCTGAGCAAGGATACACGGGAGATGTCTTGTAGCCTAGCCTTGGTCAAAAATTACCCAGAATACACCGCAGTATTTTCAAAAGGATGGGGGATCAGAAGCTGGCAGCTACTTCGGGGGCAAATTTCAAATTTAAAAGTACGACAACTAATTTAAAATGTTTTTTTTAGATCCACAGAAGTTATCTTTATGGTTGGTTAGATGCTAGTAGTTGCAGCTTCTGTGGCTAGCGGATACTAACTCACTTACATATTTAATTTAACAAATATATACACAATTTAAAACGTAAAAGGCTCGTTATCTATTTACATTGAAACTTATACACATAAAATGTAACGTTATCTCCCGTGTCACATGACGTTACGTGACCGCCGTGGAAGCAGCGGTCACGTGATGCAAGTCTGTTCCATTTAACCGTTTTCTTTGACCAAGAAAGGACAATGTCCTTGTAAGCAAGGCGTCTGGCCTCGCAAGGCCAGGTGCCTTGACATTGAGAAACATCCTAAGTCTTTGGGCGACACCAGATTGAGTGCCATGTTTCCTTCTATGGAAGCCCGTGAGGACAAAACACATTTACTGATTTGGAAGTAATGGTTACAAAAATTTCACCAATGATTCAACTTTGTTGTTTTACACATTACCTCTTTACTCGTTACTCTGATGTGCTTGTCATTTTGCTGGAGGTTGCACTCCCAGGGATTTTGACCCTAATGGCTATCTGTTGGTAAGGTCTTATTCAAACACAAAAATAATGCTTTCTTAAAATGACTTATGTATGTACTGCTTCCTGTCGGCAGGGAAAATACACACTGTCACTTTAACGCTGAGATGCTTAAAACAGTTTGCTAACAGAACTAACGTAGCTCATCTTGAATTGCATCAATCTTTTCTCTGTTGTCTGGAATGAGCCCGAAGGCACTTTACGTCCTTCACTCTTTAAGTGAGCAGAATGAACAAGTTAAATTTTCATCTCTTGCTCGTCTTCCACTTCTAAATCACTCCCCTTTCTGTCAGCCTTGGTGCAAATGGACACCGTCGTCACCGCACCAGGCCCAGAGACCGATTAATCAAACGTTTCCCTCCAGGCGTCCACATTCAAGTCCGTCGCATGCCTCCATCCTCCCAGCTTTCTCCTCTGTCATTATTCTTTTTAAAGGTTTGTAGAGCGGTTTCACTGCCATGACAGGCTGGTGAGCGTCGACTCGAGCTCTGCGCTTCAGTTACATTGTTCTAAAATGTTAACAGTAAGTAGGTCAAACTGAGAATCCAGAGAAATCTCACCACACACAAAAACACACTCATCATTTCAAGGGCTCTCTTTGATCTAATGCAACACGGCTTCAAATGAACAATTGTTGTCTAGCGCTTAATGGAGTACCATGCCAAAATAAAATAAACAAAAAAAAAAAAAAACGAGATGGGAGTCTCGTTCTGTTTCAGTATGTTTGGTAACCTGGTGATGGCTTCAGCCTTGAAATTCTACCCCAGAAATGCAAGCTAATCTTAAAGCTAATTCAGAAAGGTGGAATGTTATAAAAGTGACAAAATTACAGACGGAAATAAAAATAACAATGTTACTTTCAAAAGTATAAGTTATTGAAACAAAATAATACAGCCTGCCATTTTATTTTGTTTTTGCTCACTCTCCTGCTTTCCTGCAGTGACTTCATTAATACTGTGTGTGTGTGTGTGTGTGTGTGCAGGGTTTGTACCCAGGCTCAGAAGAAGGCTGGCAGGTGTACAGCACAGCCTCAGATCCTGACGGCAGGTGTGTGTGCACTGTTGTCGCTCCAGCAAGAAATTTATGCAAACGTGACCCTCGGAATCGACAGCTCCGCCTGCTGACTGAACAGGTGATTGTGTTTGAGTGTGTGTGTGTGTGTGTGTGTGTGTGTGTGTGTGTGTGTTTCTAGGTGTCTGGTTCCTAAATTTTCCATTCTGTGGTCAGCATTGCAATGCAGCAAAGGTGCAGTGACGGGGGCAATGCACCGGAATGAAATATTAACCAGACTGTCTCTTTGTTTTGACACATGAGCAGATGTGCACACACACACACACATACACACACATACACAGACACAGCCCTCACTGACTGATGTATCCCTGACACATCAGTGGCTGAATCATCCACAGATTGCAACTCTCTCAACATGCTCAGAAGATCTTCAGCTCAACACAAACCCTGATAGATGGAAAGAAAACAGCAATTTGTTATTTGCACTCATATTTATGATTATATGTGTTTGTGTGATCTGACTGTGTGAGCACATTTCTCTCAGTATATATAGATATTTCCCAAGAGAGGAATAAAAAAATGATGTGACTGAGACTGGTGAATTATTGATAGAAGGGTCACACATCAGGATGTAAAGTGGATCACATACTGGTAACACAATGGTTTAGACTCGCCCGTCATTCTGTGCTTTAGTTATATCTCTCCATGCAGAACAAGTGATACGCGAGAAGAAGACTATCAGAAATCATTTCCTCTCCTCCGTTCCTGTCAGGAAGCTTGTGTGTTTATGAATCTTAATTAGCTCAGCACGTCTCTGGAAGTGACACCCAGACCCTGCTGTGAGTGTGTGTGTGTGTGTTCTGTGCTCTGATTTGTCTGCTCTCCTCTGAGTGAATGGGTGGGTGGGTTTGTTTGCATGTCACTACTGGATTCAAAACTCACTATTTGGGTCATTTTTATTATCATTGTTAACACTCTCCCCCCTCTGCTGAGATCAAAGGGGATCTCATGTATCTGTTAGTGTCTCAGGATTGTTAACAAGTAGGGATGTGCGAGGGTTGTGTGTTTTTTCAACACAACACACTCCAAGGAACTCTTGTCTTAATGGATCCAAAGAGATGGAAGAAAAAAAGGCATATTCTTAAACGAACACAACAAAGATCAAAGTGCAACCTGAAGCATTTCTACTGTAACAACACATTATTTAATCTGTCCATATTTTACAAACCAGTTGCACGCTACTTCTGTTTTAAAATGAAAATGAAGCAGTCTCTGAACAAAATCACAGCAGCCAGCTTTTTCGCTGTGTCTTTCTTTTGTTTGCAAGTCATCTAATAAAAAAATGAATGTGTTATTGTTGAAATAACAACAGTTTTTTTAGAACAGCCCAACCAAACAAACTTCTACTTCCTGACAGATTTATTCATTTTTGTGTGAGCTGTTTTGCCTCTGTTTTATTAAAGAACAAAATCTCTCTCTCCAGTAAAGAACCTAATGCAATAGGAAGCAGAAAAGTCAGGAATATATTTGAAAAGAAATGAAAGAATCACAGTCCAGTCTAAACTTATTGATGAAAGCCACAGACTGTTTTAGATTATTGTGAGGGTGGGTTCAGAAAGCCAATACTGCCTCTATATGCTACATTTATCAAGTCTGCTGTACAATCAACATCAAGAGAGACCAAGCTGAAGAACTGTCTAACCCTAACCCTATACCTCCTTAATGGCCACACTCATTAAAATAAGTAATTTATCTGGAGTAAAACTCTTAAAACTATTGTTTAAATATCCCCATATTTTTCATATTGTATATATATATGTGTGTGTGTGTGTGTGTGTGTGTGTGTGTGTGTGTGTGTGTGTGCGTGTGTGTGTGTGTTGTATCCACTTGGTAGAGCACATTTTAGTTCCTTTGTCAATGTGAAGCATGAACTTACATGAAAACAACTAATAGCCAAAAAAATAAATGAAAAATTATATATATATATATATATATATATATATATATATATATATAAATGTGCTTCTTACTTAGGTTTTGAGTGTTTTATCCCTGTCAGGTTCAGAACGTGAGTCAGTCCATGGAGGTGGTGGACCTGCGAACATCCAGAGACCTGCAGTATGTCCGCGACTCTGAGCCACTGTTGAGAGGAGTGGATGGACGTTTACACACATATGTGGCAAATCCCCGTGTGCTAACAACCAAAGGCCTCCAGGTACACACACACATACATGCATGTACACACAAATGCAACACGTGCTGTCAGACACAAGCACAAAGTAACACAGTTGCTGCAGGGAATACATTACCTGTGGTGTGAAGACATTGATTTCATGCATGCCAAGTTGACGTTTCATGCTTGCACATAAATCTGTGCGCATCTTTCACCAAGGAGACAAAATTTGTCTTGGAGCTGTCGGTTTCTCTTGATCCATGCCCACTGTGTTAAAGTTTCACAAAGCGCTGGTGTAGGGCTGCTGGTCAAACACACATTAGCCCTCTGGTGGCAGGCGTTGCAGATTTGCAACAGTTAAAACCTACCTACCTGGTTACTCCACACACGTATTTCATGAGCATTTTTTAACTCTGAAGCGCTCCTGAAGGACTTAGTTGTTCGTCCTTTTATCAAAACTTATTTTGAGCCTGAGGGTTAAAGCCTCAAGCTGCCAAAACGTTTCCACCTGTAGAGTCTAAAATATTTAAAGATTAATTAATGTATTTTCACAGTATCATTAGACACAATACTAGACCATTTACTCCAGATCTGTTAGATGAGTACATCTCCTCAATGATAGAAATCTGATCATATTTCATTTTTTTAATTTAGGAACACTGATCCTTTTAGTCGTGCTGTTTTCTACTGCGGTGTCTCTGGCTGGTAACTGTGCCAACAAAACAACAGGAGGCTGGAAAAAGATTATTATTAGAGAATGGGAGTCTGTGAATCTGACTAATGAGAGCTGGATGATCTAAAAACGGAATATAGCTGATGCTTTAAAGTCTGCAATCTTAAGCTTAGGGCTGCCAGTGCATCCAAAATAATGGGTGGAGAAATCTTGTATATTTGAATAAAAACACACATAACAACAGATCAGGTAGAAAAAGTCCACTTTGGAATAATTGTGGGTATTGATTTCTGCCCAGTAATTGTTTCATTTAGACTAACTAATGACTGAAGTTGGTTCCAGTATTCAAATGTGTTAATAAGACTTGACAGCTTTGACTCTGATGCACTTTGAAGAAATATGGTGAAGTCTGGATCTACTTCAGAAAGTTCTGCTGTTACTGGAAAGCACTGAACAAAAACATGCTCATGGGTCAAATGACAGCAGAGGCACATTGGTGCTGTAGCTTTTCATACTTTCATACAAAAACAGATCAGAACTGGTACCAGTTGAGTGCTGGTTGCCAATACTGATCTTCCATCTCAAGCAATTTACAACAATTTGCAGTCAACATTACTTGGGCTGCATGAAATATTGAAAAATAAAAGTGTGTAACATCAAGATGAAAAAAAACTGCTGGAACTGTGAATCATGCAGTGCTATATTCATCTTGTTGACCAATTAGATGAACTCTTGCTGCTCTTGATGCACCTGGCTGAGTGCTAACTCAGTAATATGATCCCAGAAAATCATATTGTCGTGTATTTACTGTAGTATTAAAGGACCTGTATCATGCTATTTAACACCTTCCACAGCTACAGTGGGCACAATAAATGATAAAACATTGCCATTGGCACTGTTTAGATGTAATTTTCATGAAATAAAAGTTATTTTTGTGAGCTATTCCCTCTGCCCAGGCATTAGATAATTGGATTCAATGAAACCCCGCCTCTCCCCATGTGAATTCCACAATAGTACACAGCTGCAGACCACAGATTCATGCAAACATTAAGCTCCTTAATAGCTACCCAGAGAGACTGAGTGTTAGTAACTGCAGTCCAGGGAGGAGGGATCCGCATTCAAGACTCCCTGGATGGGGAAGAGCAGTGCATAATGGCAGCAATGCCTTTTCCAGCCTTTTGCCAAATCTTACCAGAGCTAAAGAAAAGAAGAGCTGGGAGACAGGACAGTGCATGCATGAGTGTGTTCCTAATGAGGAAATAACAATATAACATGGTCCAAAGCTCTAAAAAGTGGATCTTGGATGATATAGTGTATTTAAAGTTGCAGATACATAGCCTGGCAAGCCAGCCAATGCATCTTATACAGTCTGGCCACAACCCATTGACGGCTCTCGGTCGTGTGGTGGGATACGTTTATCTTTCATACTGTCTCTGCATACTATTGGACAACAAAGTGATATACTCACAGCTACAGATGCCAGTTAGTGAGGCAGTCCGCCACACACTGTCGAAGAAGACGCAAATAAGTCCTTTTTAAAAATAAACTTAAGCATCTCCGTCATATCAAAGAAAAGCTTGCGTCTAAAAAGTCCAAAGTTGATATTAAAGGCGTTTCAAATGAGCCATCGCTATCTTAGTTTTGCTAAGTTGAAGTAACATCCTGCCCACCAAACCAACAGAGCACTGTGATTGGCCCATTAAACCGACAGAGCGCTGTGTAGCGTCCAGAAATGGTCATAAGTAGAGGTAATATATTAAGCTTAAAAGCAACTATATTAACCCCCAATTTCTCACAGCTGTGATTGGACTGGAACCTGACTGTCCTGGGCTGTGGAGGTTCCAATGGAGCGTGGCTAGACCGACATGCAGAGCAAAACCATTTTGCTTCTACAACTGACTGTCTGGATTTTAGGCGTACAAATGGCTGCTTTTCTAATAGAATGCATTCCTGGCTATTATTATTGATAATGGCTACATAATAACATTTCAGAGTTTTATCAAATCAATTAGCAGCAAATTAGTTAAAACTCGTGTTATTATCAGAGTTGTTCATCACCCACAGCAATCGACTGATGTGACTGATTCTTAGAAATCCATTGCCACAAGGCTCATTGATGACCATCTGATTTCAGGGAGAGGCTGTTATTCTTTCTTAGTATTGATCATTTTATCTGTGAAGCCTCCTTTTAATCCAATTAATCTTATCCAACTGCTGCTTTTAAGTTAATTATTAGGAAAACATGCACAGCTAAACATTTCCAACGTGAACTGCAGATGCTTTTATTCCGCTGAAGTTCTATCAGAAGCAAATCCAAGAAAACAGCCCAATCACCTCCCAAAGCGAGACACACAGTGTTGATGTGTGATGAGGTTGTTTTAACAGAATCAACACATGCATCAAGTTGACATCTTTGGTGTTTGACAGGAGTGGAAGGTGAGCAGCGAGAAGGCTGCAGGAGCTAGCAAAAATTTAATTTGTGCATCTCTAAACTGAAATGTAATGAGATTTTGTGTAAATATAAAGCAACAAACATGTAAATAATGAACTAAATTGACAGAAGAAAGCGTATGTTTAAATCTAATGTATAATTAAACTGCAGACTGCAATTCATTAATAAAATATGACATAAAACAAAATGTATTGATTATTTTCTGTGTGAGAGGTTTTCATCCTAAAGGTGTGGTTCACTGAAAAAAACAAACAAAAAACATTGCGACGGGGAAGGCTGTTGTTGTTTTAGCGTCCAGGAAACAGCATTGACCACCTTGGCTAGCAAAAGCTAACCGTTAGCATTAGCAACTCAACCACATGGCAGAAGATCCTCCAGACATGTGTTATTTGCAGAGATAAAACACCAAAATTACAGAACAAAAGAAGTTAGTGGTACCAGTTTTAGTGGGTCAAATGAACCTTTCATTGATTTACCACAGATTAGTGATGATTAAATCATTTTTCACAAGTTAAAACTCAACTTGTGCTATTGTAGTGAATTCAATCATGGGTTGCCACCTTCGAATCAGCCGATGAGTATGTTCTGAAGAAAGGCTCCCAGATAGGGATGCACTGATACCGATACTGGCGTATCGGTGCTAATACCGATTCCAGTATTGGTACCGGTAAAAGTTAACCGATAACAGGAACCGATACCAATGCAGTTGCTTGAAATTGGCTTCACTGTAACTTGTCATTTCTGCCCCCCTAATTAATATATTTTATTTTTATCTACCTCACAGTCTTTTCCTGCCGAACCCTCCCACTGTCCTAATGGGTGTGACCCCGTGAGGAAAGATGACCACTGAGCAGGATTGATGGTTTATCCCTTGAGGTCCATGTGGCAGGGGTGAGGTGATGCTCACCCCTTAAAGCAGAAAAGAAAATAAAACCTGTATTCCAATTCATTGCATTTTTAGTATGGTAGAAGCGTTGGTATCGGTAACCAGTATCGGCGAGGACTCAGATCCAAGTATTGGTTAGGAAAAAAGTGGTATCGTTGCATCCCTACTTCCTGAGGCAGACTCTTTGACATCAGAAAATGTATGTTTGCGTTTACATGCAGCCAGTAACCCCTTTAAAACCCGAATATTCACAATAACCCGGTTCCGCAGGTCCTTGTAAACACCGCCAAAAACCCGGATATGCTCATAACCGGGTTTTTAAAAACCCGGCTATTACACCTGGGGTAACCCTTTTCTAACCCGAATGCTTGGTCGTGTAAACGCATACCGGGATATCCCCATCAAAGCGTGTGTTCTGCGCATGCTCTGTTCGCAAAGAATCTTGGTCTTTTGAGTAGCGAGACGTCTTGTATGCGCCAGAACACCGGAAGTAAACAACAAGTTGGGGGCAAAATGGCGAGTCGCGGCACAGCACCACACTTTGAGTGACGAGGAAACTAAAGCGCAAAGAAACGCGGTCACTATCTCTTCCGAACTGGGAAACATGTTGTTGTTTTCACGGATACCAGAACAAGAAGAACCGGAAATGGCGCATATTGCATCTGGACGTAGTCCATACGTCCTGACGCTACCCCAACGTCTGCATTTACATCGGGTTATGCACGTTAGGGGTAACTCTTTCTATTTATGCTTGTAAACGGGTTATTCTGATCAACTCAGAAACCCGAATGCCGACCTTAACCCGATCATAACCCGGATATTGGCTGCATGTAAATGTACTGAGTCCACAATCCACATCAGTACAGGTTTGATGCATCAGGAACCAGGAGGAATTCAGCCAAAGAAATCCCCTGAACAACGCCCAATTGCTCCTCTTCATTTACTTGAGGAACACATTTCCACTCCCATGGTAGGAGGCAAGAGGATCTCCCCAGATTGGACGAACAAATCCATACCTTCACCATATTAGC